TCAAGGTCAGAGGTTCGGGAGGTCAGTGGTCACCGGCCCCGGGTCCTGTTGCGCTGTCACAACGTGCCAACGCAGCACCAGCACCAGCCAACCGCCGTCATGGCAGCTCTCTTCGGGGCAAGGGTGCCTCAATTGGAAGGGGCATGAGGTGGGGAAGGGGGTGCCCGCGCGAGCGACGCGGTTGGTCGACGGGACTGGATCCCTGAAAAGCGGGAACCTGAGGACCTGAAGGACTGCAGGGACATGGCACTAAGCCAACCTTAGCGGCCTCTCTCACGTTGGGAGTTGTCTCTGTGCTCGCACTGGACCTTGCAGACTCGAGAGCACTGTGAAAGGACGCTGGAACCGCTGCATCCGAGTGGGTCCACCTCGTCCAATCACAGTGGCCGTGTTTTTTTCTCTAATTGTTTGATGCTTCGCAAACCTTAGAGTCGGTACTGTACGCTGAGGCTTCACGTCGAACCACCTACCACCGCCTGCCTGTCCACCAAGGGAAATACCCCGAGACCGCCGTCACCATGCCCAGCTCCTGCAAAGAATTGCGTGCGTCCCAACTCCCCTCTCAAGAATCACTCGCATGGACCCTCAACTGACTAAATGCCCACAGGCGCGGCTCTCGCGCAATGCCTCCAGGAATCCGACTGCGTCATGGTCCACCAGAACAGCGCCTCCGACTGCCTCCGCGAACCCCTCGTCAACACCCTCCCCACAAAGTGCCAGCAGCTCAAGAAGGGCTTCGGCGAGTGCAAGCGCGGCATGGTCGATATGCGCAAGCGCTTCCGTGGCAACATGCCCGTCAACTACAAGACCATGAACGACGCCGAGTCGGGCAAGGGCTACCAGCTGTACGCCGGACGACCAGCCTTCGCTGGCGGCAGGGGCGAGACGGACGGCAACGAGCCCATGCCCAAGGACTGGAGGGAGGTGGAGAACGAGAAGTACCGGGCTGAGCAGGCTGAGGCGCAAAAGAAGTGATCCGGCAGAAGGGTGGGCGTGAAGAAGAGGTGGATATCACGAGACACTGTACAGACTATGTGTATGACCTGAAGAGCGAGGCATCGGTTGGCGTCTTGGAGTTTTTGCAAAATGGTCTCGAAGCCAGTGTACGATTATGTTCTAATATGGACATGCGCCGCAACATCCCGACTCAACCTTTGGCATGGATTGGATGCCCGTGTATATCCCGGGTCAGAGAAACAGCAATACGGTGGGTATGGTGGCTTGATACGCAAGTATCAGCTTGTTGGGTATCACGCTTGAATGAAAAACATCTACTGAGATGTTGGTCTACTAGGCCACATAAGGAGCCGAAATGCCGAAATGATTGCCGTTCAATAGCCACACTACAGCCTATCTGAATGCGCGAATAGACACATACAGAGACCCCAAGTGTAATGGGAAACAGGGAGCAGCTTTGCACATTGTCTAGTCATATTGCATGCACAATAGAGAGAGCTGGTTTAGGGTTGGAAGTCTATACGATAGGACCAGTTTGCCTAGGAACCAATCCAAACCACAACAGGCACGTCGTCAGCGTCTAGGCCACTATGCCACCTCTTCCCTTGTTCTTTTGCGAGCACTGAGTGAACTGCAAGTCTGCGATTCAATACAAAGTTTCATATTTGAACCAATTAAGATGAGAGAAAATTATCGTATTATCATTGTAAACAGTTGCACAAGTCATAGCTTGCCGCATCCGCCACCTCGGCCTATTCCCTCCCCTTCCCTCCCGAAGACTTCATCGATTCTCTCAATCATGTCCAAATTCCTTTCCTCCCCTTTCCATTCGACATAGTCTGGTTTGTTGATGCTTCCGAGCATCATAATCCCCCGCACCACGTAAAGGTCCAGACTCTGCAAGGGACCCTCCACGCAGTTTCGGATCCACACAAGTGCACGAACCCATCCCCTGCGCTTCATAGGGCTGCCCAACTCTCGGCGTTATGATGGGCTGATTTGAAGAAAAAAAGAAGAAAAGTAAGAAATACGCCTCAACCCCCTCGATCCCCATCCCTCTCAAACCACAACCCCTAACTCACGAAGAATCCGGGGTCGGGCGAGTCAGGACAAAGTCCCGCCTTCTCAATCCTTCCTCTAACTCACGAAGAGTCCGATCCAGGCGAGGCGGGCGGGTCCAAGGACCAAGGGGAGAGTCGTCGTCACTTCCAGGCTCACGCAGGCCTACCAGCGAATTCTCGTCATCCGGCGCCTTCCGCGCCGTCCCTTGCGAGGGCGGCGCGTGGCAGCTGCGGACGGATCATCGACGCTTCAGGTGACTGCGGATCCCTCCAGCGGTGAAAAAGTTGTTGTAAAAAGGTGATCCTCGACTGTCTTCCGGCTGGCGCGCCCCGACCTCCAGACAGGAAAATCCAACAAAAAAAGGTTTCCCAGCTCGACACCTTCAGCTCTACTCTTCCGTGGAAGGGAGCATCAGGTGGAACAGAGAGTGGCACTCCTGGCCTGCTCGACGCCGCGCATGGTGGTGGTTGTCTGTTATGTGGTGATCGTAGCGGACATGGCGGCGGAACGGGGGAGGCCGATTGAGGTGGTGGAAATGCAGGAATCTGTGTGTTTGGCTGGTGGACTCGACTGCATGGCGAATTCTAGAAAGAGAGAGTAGAATTGCGCTGGAGAGGAGTAAAAAAACAAGAGCTAAACGAGGGACGGTTGATGAAGCTTTATACAGGATCCAGAGTGGCATGTCAGACGCAGGTGGAGTTGAAGTCGAGAAAAGGTTTGGGGCGGCAAAGACAGGGCCAAGCCGCCAACTGGTATGATCTGCAGTCGTGAGCCTCTGGAACCAGTGACACCCCACCTGGAAGAATGGGCGCTAGCGGGCGTTGGTCCGCCCTGTTCCGGCAGCACAACTGGAGGTTGGGTGGCACTGGACCTCTAGTTGGGAACTTTGGGGCGCCTGGAGGACCGGGAACCTGAGGGAAGGGGTGGAAACGTCTCAACGTGCCCCTCACCCACGCGCAACGACACCTTACTCTTCCACTCTCACCCAAGTCTCCCGTCTCATCCCTTCCAGCTTCTTTTCCACCCACCCAACCAAACCCCATGAAACCAGGAGCGACTCGCAACTCCCAAGGTCCCGATGGCCTGATGTCTGAAACCTGAGATTGCAAATCATCGATCCATCACTGTCGTCGGCCTGCCCGGGGTTTCTGCACCAAGCATTCTTCGCCTTCTCGCTTCAGCCCCTCCGAGCTCCATCGTCCAATTGCTTGTTTCTTGTGTCAAGTCGCCAAACGGCTCTACGCTCCTCTCGGCCACCGCTACAGCTGCACCACTCGTCTCTTTCACGTCTCTTCTCACCTGTCCTGCGGGGCGATAAGGTGTCAATCACGGGCTGTAGGCAATCCTTAACCTTAATCGAATTGCTTGGCAGGCACCTTTCGTCCCCTCTTGTGACGGCGGCAGCTGGTTTGAGGTGAATCTTGAGTCGGGTTGTCTGACCCAGACTGGGACGGCTTGGTTTCTGGAACTGCAGCCACTGGAGCTTCACTCGAGATCTCTCGGCCGCGGGACTTATTGTACATACAGCAAGAACGACATATCGCAAAACCCCAGCCTGCGAGTGCGAGAAACGTGGTTGGAAACGACCGAAAGCAATACCGATCGAGATGGCCCCGACTATCACACAGTGGATCCTGGATACTCGGCACCTGTATCCAGAGGCCACTGAAACGAAGCACCTCGAACAAGCAGTAAGAAACCTCACCCTCCCTCACCGAACCGAACCGCCCGTGAACCACCCACACACACCCATGTCTGTTTCGTCCTTCTCCATGCAAATCAAACCGCCCGAGGCGAGATCTTTACCCCAACAGTCGCCCAGCAATTCGGCGCAATATCCTATTCGCCTCACTTCAACCCTGGAAGAGCAGAAGCAAACCCTGAAAACACCACGAAACTGACCAAACGACTCAGGCATCCCGGGCTCTCGCCCTCCTCAGCGCCGACGAGCGCAAAGCTGTGCTAAAGTACTACCACGTTCGCGACGCGAAGCTGTCTCTAGGCTCGCACCTTCTGAAACGCTACGCCATCAGTCGTTTCTGCGGCGTCCCCTGGCCTTCGGCAAACACTGTCCGCAATGAGAAGACAAAGCCCGTCTTCCGCACCGCCGACGGCTCCGAACCCCTGAGCTTCAACGTGAGCCACCAAGCCGGTCTGGTTGCGCTCTTCGCCGTCCACGGTTATGACGCGGCCAATGGACCGGTAGACGTAGGCGTTGACATTGTCTGCACCTCAGAGCGTCGCTCCAGAGACCACAGCATGCTCAGGAGCGAGGGGTGGCCGCGCTTCGTGGACGTGCACGCCGATGTGCTCTCGCCTGCTGAGGCGAGCTTCCTCAAGTGGCAGGTTCTCTCGGCGATCCCGCCGGGGTTGAAACCGGGGGCCTCAGCAGAGGACTCGATGGATTTCAAACTGCGATGCTTCTACGCTCTTTGGTGTCTGAGGGAGGCGTACGTCAAGATGACGGGCGAGGCGCTGCTTGCAGAGTGGCTCGGCGACCTCCAGTTCAAGAACTTCAAGCCGCCACTGCCGGCGGAGAAGTTTGAGGACGAAGGAGACGCCGTCACGGAGCACGACATCATCTTCAAGGGAGCCAAGGTCGAAGATGCGAATGTGTGTTTGAGAGCCTTGGGTCCTGATTATATGACAGCCACAGCGGTGCGAACACCTCAGCGCAAAGAAGACGGCTTGGCATTTGAGATTGGACCGTTTACTATGCTTTCTTTAGATGAAGTCTTGGAATTTGGAGAATCCCATTCGTAGCTTGGGATGATCTCTAGAGGTTGTCCAGCCATGCCTGGCATTGTCGTCTGAACTGAAGTCACAGCTCTTTGGCTTGGCAAGTGTCGATCACCAAAGTCAAGACCTATACTATATAGAATTAGAACCGGTGACAAGTTGTCACCCTTTTCTAACATTCCACCGCAGCTCTGGTCTTCGCGCACATACCACACGCAAGAATGACGGAGAAATCCAAAACATCATGATATGTGTGCCAGCGCAAGATCAGGCCAGGAACCCTTCAGGTCAAATAGCCCCTTAATCTTCAGCCACCCGTCCGGATCCTCGTCCTCCCTCAACTCTCCAAACGCATCCACAGGAAACAGCCAAAACCCCAACGCCGGCCTCGGCGCCGCAGCCAGCACCTCCGGGCCGTCGAAGCGAGGGAGGCACGGGTTGAGCCCTGACGGCGTGCCAAAGCATCCCGCCGGAGGGCACCCACGACCCCAGTCCGGCCCGTCCGCCCACCCGTGAAACCACCACTGCAGCCTCAACCACTCAAAGTCCTCCTCATGAAGACACCGCCTTGCCTCCTCACGGCTGCGCACTTTGTCCTCCTTGTGCGTGCCGACCATGACGCGCACGTCGACCGCCGTGTCGAGATCACGCTCGGGATCGACACCGAGGCTGCGGAGGAGCCGGCGCCAGGCCAGCGGCTTCCCGCGCGGGTCGTGAATCCCGGCCCACACCTTCTCCAGGTCCCGCGAGATGTTGCGCGGGTCCCGGCGGGGCGTGTCAAAGAAGGTGAAGGCGGGAACGACGGGGTAGCCGTAGTTGAAGACGTGGGCGGTTCGGAAGGTCAGCACGTCGAGGCCGCGGCCGGCCGGGGTGACGTTTCGGAACCAGATGCTCTTGAGGCCTTTGACGGTGGCGCGGAATGCGGCGAGGGCGGTGGTGTCGATGTCGGTTAATTTGAGCGGGGTGGGGTCGGAGTCGGCGTCGTCGAGGACGATGTGTTGGAGACCGGTGCCTGAGGGGTCGTGGGCGCGGAGGTCGTGGAGGAAGTCGATGGTGGCTTTCCAGGAGGGTCCGGACGATATTTGGAGGTAGTCGTAGGAGAGGTTGAGGAGGAGGGCCGTCTTTTGGGTTCCGGTAGCGGATTTGAGGTGGCAGGGGAGGCTGACGGGGTAGAATGCTCTGGCGGCCTCTTGAGATTCGCGGGATACAGACATGAGTTCCGGGAGGAGACGGCAGCGGGCTTGGACTGTGACGCGGTAGTGGTCTCCCGTTACAGGGCGGCCCATGGAGTTGACGAGGGAGTATCTTGGAGTCTCATCGACACTTTTGCTTTCCACCTCTTCAACCGTGACGTGCAGCAGGCGGTTTCGCTGCAGAGCGTGTCGCCATATAAGCAGTCGAAGCTCGGTGGGAAGCTGAGAGAAGAGGTGAAAAGAGGCATCGCCGCATGCCGTCGGATCCGTGTTGAAGAGCTCGAGATGCGGGCGTCTTGGCAGGTCTTGTACATCTGGCGAGTGATTTAGATCTTCAAGAGACGCCATCGTATACACAAGACACTGGTTCCACAAGGCATGTCTTGGAGCTACAACCTCGAGAAGCTTTGAAAACTGGGTGAGGGGGATGCCGCCGTGAATTACGTACCGTCTTTAAGCGAGGGCTGAAATGCAGAGTCACCATTTGGCGTGGCGTTGGGGGGGGGGTGATGTCTCAGTTCGTCGGGCCGCAGCTGTTGGTGTGGTTCGTTCGCCTTACCTGCCGCTGCTGAGCTTCGCACTTACCCGAATAGGCAACAAGAAGCTCGAATCATGGAGTTCTGGTTCGCATTGGTTTGCATTTTTGGTCAGCAACTCAGATCCTACGCCAAGACGAATTGGGGGCTGGATCTTAAGCAAGACGAATCCTGAATAACGTGTTCTGCTTATCTCTTTGTTGATTAAGTCGTATTTCTATACATCACTCTCCTCAACAATTGTCATTGTTTTGGAGAAATTTCAATGGTTTAGCTTGATGTATTTGAGGGCGATGGAGATGTCAGTGTAGAAAAGCTGAGCATTCTCTTCAAGATAGGTATTGTCATTCAATCTTCCAGAAATACCATAGTTAAATGCTATGAGGATCGAGCACATAATCAATAACGAGCCCGCCTAGTATTTCGGTGTCTACGCGGCTATATCTCCTACCATGGCAATGATGAGCATAATATTGTCATCTGACTAAAGACGATAGTAGTTGGAAGCGACAATAATAAGACCGATAGTGACGACAACGACGGCAACGACGACGACGACGGCAACGACGACGACGACGACGACGACAATCTGACAACAATTACAACAACGATGTTTATAGTAGAGTATGAATAAGCCCAAAGAAAACTATTCGCTGTGGTATAGAAGATAGAGCCAGTCTCTACGCAATCCTCTTCGTTCTTCGAACTCGGCCCCGCCAGTTCACTTCATACCATCCATCAGACCTTCAACCCGCCGCTTTCCAACCCATCCCAGAGCTTCTCTGCGCCCTCCTTGTACTTTGGTATGAAGACTCCGTCACCCTGTGGCGGTTCGGCGTGGTAAAACGGCACAACCCGCTTCCTTCCCTTGACAACCTCCAGGATGGTTCCGTTCCCGTACTCGGGGTTCTCGCAGAGCTCAAGCATGCCCCGCGCAATCTCCTCGGGCTCGGTGAACAGCTTCGCGTCTTCCTCCTCCTCGGCCATATGCTTCTTATCGGGGTCCTCCCGCCACATTGGCGTCTGCATGACGTTAGAAATCTCAGAACGGAACGGCAAAAACCAAACAATCATACCATGACAGCCCCCGGCGCAACAGCGCTGCACCGAATCCCAACCCGATCCCTCATCTCACCCAGACTCCTCACAAAAGCGTGCAAACCATGCTTGCTCGCAAAATACAACGGCGTCCCGAACCCGAACGCGTGGCCCGCGATGCTGCTCACATGCACCAGACACCCGGGCCGGTGCGTCTGCGTCCAGTGCCCGATGGCGAGCTGGCTCAGCCGGATCGGGTGCGTCAGGTTGACGTCGATGACCGCGTACGTGCCCGGCTCCGCCGCCGCGGCGTCGCGCGACTTAGTGTCCGGGTTCGATGCCGTCTTGGGCGCGTGCCAGAAGGAGCTCCACGCCGGCTCGAAGATGCCCGCCCCGGGCACGACGATGTCGACGCGCGGGAAGGTGGCGAGCGCCGTGTCCCAGAGGCGGGAGAGCTGCGGCCAGGAGGCGACGTTGGTCTGCTGGAAGTGGGCTGTCGGACGGCTGCTGTCTGATGAGGATTGGGGAGAGTACTGCGAGACGAGGGAGGATGCCTCGGGGCGGAGGGCGAGGTCGCCTATGAGAACGGAGCAGCCGCGCTCGAGGAGAAGTTTGGCGAAGGCCAGGTTGATACCTTGGTGATGCGTGAGCTTTTTTTTCCCTTTTCTTTTCTGGTCTTGTGACGACTGAGTTGATGACTTACCTGACCCTGCACCAGTGATGACTGCATATTTCCCGGCTACGGATAACGACATCTTGGTTACAGATAAACCGAGTGCGATGAGGAGTTCAACAAGCCCAGGTGAGACGAGACCACGCCCCGACGCCCACCGGGCATCTCGGCCCTGAAATACGCCATGGCGCAATATGTCTCACAAGGTAAGGCTGCGAAGGAGGATTGTAGGTTGATCGCGGTAGCCGCCGCTGCGGGTATCTTCACCCGATGCATCACGGACATTGATCCGAAAAAGGGTACCCTTCGACCTCGGGGCGGGGGGTAAATGGGTCCGGACGTGGTTGACAGCGGGACGGAACCCCGCAGATGGATAGATCTCGCAGGACAGGGACCGGGGTTTCTTCATGCAGCGAGGTGACATTTGTGATGAACTTCTGCAATTGAATGGAGTGGTTTTGTATTGCCGGCTCTTTGTGCATTCTAGCTGTATCTTTGCAGTTATTTCACGCAGATTTCGTACCCTTCTCCTCGTCGGACACTCGTCTGGCTGACTCGCGCGAGGCGATGACGGCCTCCCGCCTCCGGTCGTTCTCGTTGTCCTCCGGCTTTCCTTCTCTTGTCGCCCACCCGTCGACGTATCTTAATGTTTCCCGATTCCACACTTTATTCATCAGGAACAGCCTGACTGGGACCAGAATGATGATGATGATAGGGAAGCCCGGGGCCGCCACGGTCAATGTGACTCCAAAAACGATGCCGGTGAGGATGATCTGCGAGATGGTATACATGTGAATACCCAGCCAGGACGCACCCTGGGGTAAAGCAGGAAGTTCCGATATGGGCGTGAGGAGGTGCCAGATTCTGTTGAGGATCGGGTTGACGGATAGCGACTGGTAGCCCATGAACATGAACAGCCCAGCGAGGACAGAGGTAGGCGTGAAGCCCAGGACGTGCTGAAAGGGTGGTGAGACAAAGAGCAAGATGCCTGCCGCTTGGATGAAGGGCGAGTATCTCTGTTCGTAGACCCGTATCAAGGGTTTCAATGGGGGTTCTTCGCCGGGCTCAGAGTTCGGGGCGGGGGGGTCTTCGACAACGGTGTGCATGAGAGACTCGGAGTGCAGCGGTGCCTGTGGCAGGAGCCCGTTTGCTGGCGGGATCCCGAGTATACCGCACATAATCGTCGTCGTGCCCAGAAGCATGATATCCCACGCGTAGCCCCCAGGCTTCTGGATGCCGTACCTCTTCGCCGTGCAGATGATGCTGCTGATCTCGTGGTCAAAGTAGAACAGTACCGTGATGATGATGCCCGGGATGATGGCGATGAAGATCCAGCCGATGGGGAGCTTCCAGAACTCGACAAAGAAGACGTCCCGGCTCGGCGACGACGGCCTGAAAGTCTTGGAGACCTCCAGCCTGTTGTGGTCGAGATGCGCCAGGTCGCCGACGTAGGGCATGCCGATGAAGAAGACGATGGAGATGGCGGCGGCGTACTCTGCGAGGCCCATGCGGACGTACCTGTGGAACAGCGGCTTCCACGACGGCGCCGTCGAGAGGAAGATGGCGAGGAGACAGGTGCCCACTGCGCCGATGATGGAGTAGAGAAAGGCCGCGAGCGAGACCGCGGCTTTGGTGCGCTCGAGCTCGCGGACGGCCTTATGGAAGTAAATTACGCTGTTGAGGAGGGAGAAGATGTCGGCGCTGAAGTCGGTGACGTATTGCATGGTGTAGTCATGGGCGTTGAAGATGGCGAGGAGGTAGTGCATCCAGCCAGAGTGGATGAGGGACCAGGCCATGAAGGGCAGGAAGGGGATCTGGAAATGTCAGTCACAGCCATAGACTTGGAATGGGAACGACGGGTCAAAATGACTGCGTCAAGGAGTGGACGCTACCTTGAAAGAGTTCTCGCATAGCGAGTAGATATTCTCTGCCAGAACCGAAAATGGACCAGTGACACCGAGGATAGTCAACGGCTGGGCCGAGAACCTGAGGACGCATTAGTACCACAACAGTTACAAGATTTCCCTCCAACTCACAAAGCAAAGATAATCCCACAGAGCCCCGTGCTAAACACAACCTCGATCGTCCCCCACGACTCTCCAGTCAGAACGTACAAGTCGCTGGCAAAGGTGATGCCGGGCAAAATGTTGGTGAAGAAGACGTAGATCGCACTGGCCAGCACGAGCTGGTTGAACACGGTCCAGTCTGATATGTATCGCAGTCTGAAGTTGAGAGAGTCCTCCTTCAGCAGCCTGAACGGTCTGAGCTTCCCGCTCTTGGCAAAGTATCCCCGCCATCTGCTCGGGGAACGCTCCTCTTGGCGAACGGAGGCGACTTCGGGTGACAGCTCTCGGTTCGCGGGAGAAATTGTTCTCTCTGAGGGAGCCTGTGTTCGCAACTCCGGAACTGGCGTGATGGCGTCGTCGTCGTTGGTCTGCCGCGCTGTGGCTGACGCCCGACGATCACCTTCGGGACTCATCTTGGAGGAGTTGGGTGTGCTGATGATGGTGGTGTTCACCGCAACTCCAGGCTGTCAACTCCAGATAAGAACAGCAGCAGGAGTTCAATAGTGCACGGCAGCAAAAGAAAGTGACGACATATCAAGCCGAGTCATTAGGCAAAGAGGAAAGAAAGAAGGTATTTTTGAAGAACTCAACACGCGTCTATCTTTAGCCCCAAACGCCCCGCGGCAAGTCACGAACCAAGAAACACCGCTTTTTCACTCATCGGTTGCGCGGCATACTTTTCCATAGTCTCGAAACATCCAGGGCGTCCAAGGCAGGCCCTTGATCAGTGCCCAACAAGCGACAAAACTCAAAAAAACGGCTTCAATTCAAGCGCTCTGCAACAAATCGAACGCCGCCCGTCCCCCACGTGGATTCTCAACCGTCATTGGCCAAGCCTTGGCACAGGTGGAGACTAGTTCCTCCGAAGCTCTCGGATCCGGCACAGCTTCCCTGACGTCACCGCCGCAGGGTGCAGGGGCCCAGCTTCAGTGCCCCTCCAACCTTTACCAGATAAAACCCCGCCGGCCAATCAATTGTGGCGCATTCGATGAGGCTGCGCGACCGGTGCGCTGTCAGGCTGAAAAGAAATTTGCGACCAAATTTCCCACCCTGCGCTTCAAGGGGAAGAGAAAAGCGAACAGCTCCATCAACGCCCAACTCACTCCCGAACCAAAAAAAGGGACCGCTCATGAATTTGAGTCGCAGAACAACAATGATTACTCACCCGCGCTAGATCCACTCAATCACAGGCCATCGCGCCCAACCCCGGCGCACCGACAAACCTCTCCCAAGATGCTTCCGACCCTCGCTCGCCGGAGCACCACCACCGTCGCCGCCGCCGCCGCGACCGGCGCCTTCTCGCCCCGCACCCGCTTCGACGTCTCCGATTCCATCCCCCGCTCTTACTACCTCGGTCACCACCACGCCGCCCTCCGCGACATCTCCTCCCGCCTCAGCGAGGTCGGCCTCGTCCTCGAGTGCCGCGACTACCGCGTTCCTATCACCTCCTGGAACCCGATCCTCGACCGCGCCATCGCCGGCCGCGAGCGCATCGTCGTCTACACCCACCGCGACCTCGGCACCGACAGCCCCCGCGAGATCGAGCAGGCGCTGCGCCGCTTCCACCGCGGCCAGACCGCCGCCGGCGGCACCCCGCAGCGCGCCGTCTTCTGGCGCAAGGACGACGGCGCGAGCACAAAGACCCTGCTGAGCGAGATCCGCCATGTCGCGCAGGGCATCGACAGCCTGACGGGCGTGCGCGCGCTCGTCGTCGGCATGCCCAACGTCGGCAAAAGCACCCTGCTGAACAAGCTGCGCAAGCACGGCATGCAGAAGAAGCCGTCCGTCGCAAGGGTCGGCGCGCAGCCCGGCGTGACGCGCAAGCTGTCCTCCCCCGTGCGCATCCTCGACTCCGAGAAGGACGGCGGCGCGGGGCTCGGCGAGGGCGTGTTCGTCCTCGACACGCCCGGAGTCTTCATGCCGTACGTGTCCGAGGCCGAGAGTATGGTCAAGCTTGCGCTGGTAGGGTCTGTGAAGGACGACCGCATCCCGATGGTGATTCTTGCAGATTACCTTCTCTACCGGATGAACCTCGCCGACCCCAGTGTGTACGCGAAATACAGCGATCCAACGAACGAGGTCAACGATTTCCTACAAGGGGTAGCGAGCAAGACGGGCAAGTTGAAGAGCGGCGGAGAGGCCAATGCGGAGAGTGCGGCAGATTGGATAGTCAAGCAATGGAGAGTTGGCCAACTGGGCAAGGTCGTTTTGGACGATGTCAACGACGAGGCTTTCAGGGAGAAGGAGTTAGAAAAGGCCGGACAAGGCCCCGTGAGCATGAGCCAGGCGCGCAAGCGGGAGAAAGAGGCCAGGAAGGACAGAGCACTCAACAAAACCAAAGCCGTGTAAAATTCAAGGAGAGTAAATTTTGAAGAGGAGGACGACGACCTATAGAGATACCCCGCACTCTGTATATCATACATGGGAAAAAAGAAACATGAGGATAAATGAGGGTAATGTGTACATTAGAAGATGCGCCAAGTTCATGTCGAAACGTCGCTGAATATAGGCCTGTAAACCCCGACACAGCGCGAAGCCGTCACTCATACCCATCGAACATTCGCATCTGTCTGAGTATCCGACATTCATCCCCAGGCCCACCAGTCACAACCAAACCCGTAACTAGTACGTACACTCAATTCTGTAGCAATAATGGCCATTTTGAAAACCCTATGCTCCGATCACTCTCGCCATCCCAGGGACCTTAACGCCAGAAGCAATAAACCCAAACAACGAAAAAATCAAAAACAAAAAAAACATGTTTACCGTCGGATGCCACCGTCGGATAATCTCTGGTATCATACGCCGAAACCAACCGCAGCCACTGTGTCGCTTTCGAGCAATGGCTCGCATATATAGAGAACAGGGAAACAAACGCCAGAAACCTAGAGGCTACTCGTCAAGGCGCATACTGCTTTTGCCAACGAAGTAGGTCCCGGGTTAGAACGTCCATCATTTCCACACAGTTTAAAGCCTTAAACTCCTTAGACTCGGAATCGTTTTCGCTGGACGACCCGTTCGCGACAGCGGAGTCCTTTGCTTCTGTGCTTGCAGCGCCGTTGACGCTGATCTTTGGTGCTTCTGGCGCGGTTGTCGCGCGCGGGCTGTGTTGCTGAGAGCTGTTTTGGCTGCTTCGTGACCCTGGTAGCGCTTCTCCCGCCAGCTCCACTTGCGTCTTGGAGATGAAGTCGAGAAAAGCTGTCACTCTTCGCTTCATCTCGTTCATAGACACCTTGCTCTGGGTGCTGTGGGCCTTGTGCTTAGATCCATGATGCTTAGACTGGTCCGCGCCAGAGTGTTTGCTGACTCCAGCGCCGGTATGGTCGTCGTGATTCCGCGCAATGTCTCTGGACATCGAACGCGCAGGCGTATCTTCATGTTCGTCTCGATCCTTCGTATACTGGTTTCGGCCCTTGCCACGTTTCTGATTGTTGCGACTCGACTTCTTGTGCGTGCTGCCAGTGGGTGCCGGGTTCGCCGGCGGGGTATCGGGGGTCGGCGCAGACGACGGAGGCGCTTCAACCGGGGCAGGAGGCTCCGTTGTTGGCTTCACAATAGGTTTTGCGGACGCCAGAAGGACTTCTTCCGACGGATCTGAATCTGTGGCCACATGAGCTTCAGGCTCCTTGACGACACCCGCAGTGGTAGTGGTAGTAGTACCCTCCGCCCTTCTGCGATCCGCACGACCCTTTCTGCTTTTGGCGGCCTCAGCACGTTGACGGTCGCGCTCTTCACGCTCCGATCTCTCTCGCTGATTGCGGGCGCCGCGAGCCTTCTTCTGTCCGTTACGAGTGATTGATTCCTCCTCTGACTCGTCTTCAATTGCTTGTGTTTTTTCGGGGGGCGGCGACATTGAAGGAGAGCTTGTTCGTTGCCTCTTCAGACTTGCGAGATTTCTAAAACCGTTAGGAGACGCCAAACAACAACCCAATTGAGCACTTACTCCTCACTGCCGCTGCGGCCACGCTTCGGTCGGCGCGTTTCCGGCTGGTCAGGAACAGCCTCTTCTTTGCTGGCCTCGATGGCTCTTCGTAATTGTTCATCCTCGTCGTATGCAGCGTCCCGGCTGTTCATGGTCGATCTTCGCTTCTGAGCTTGTGTTGCTGACGAGGCTCGGCCATTTTTGCTCGTCTCCTTGGGTGAGCGGGTGCCGTCTTTGACTAGGGAAGCAGCTCGGGACGTCGCGCGTGATGGACGGTTGAGTGGAAGGTAATTTGAGTAGCGTTGTCTGTACGGTACGACATTAGTATGCTAAAAGAAGGGTGAAATGGGTGGGCTGCCAGAGGATCTCTCAAGGCCAGTGACGCGGCCCACGCAGGACTGTCAATCACACCAGCATAGAGAGCACTGTTCGGTGTGAGAAGGTCGTCTGGAAAACTTACCCATTGCTTGCAGTGTGAATCTTGTGTAGGTCATTCCGACACTTCTCGCAGAAGTACTCGTCGGGAGAGCTCTCTTCGGTGAAAATACCGACGCAAGCACCATGTTGCCAGACCTTGCACACATCGCACTGGACGAACAAACCAGAGACCTCGTCTGACAGCTCGATGCTAGAGAAGAAGTCTGCCTCCGGGTTGTGCTTTCCGTGCTTGGAGTCCTCCTCGAAGGGCGGAGGACCCGGGTATTCATCGAAGCCGCAGACGCAGCGCACCGACTCGTCGTCCTCCTGGACGTCGTCGCTTCCGGTGGCCATGTCGTAGGGATCAATACGAGACTTGTCTCGGGCGTCCTCTTGGGCGCGGGTCCGACGTCGTGAGGGAAGTGCGTCCTCGAGGTCCTCGGGGGGCTCTGAGGAGAGCGAGGCGCTCGGTGTGGATTTTGCGGAAGAGGTCTTGTTGAGAGATCTTGTATTCCTCTCGCCGCGGCTGGAGAGACTCGACGTAGTCGACGACTGTTGTGATTGAGAGACTGTATTGCCTCGGGCTCGTGAAGATCGTCGAGGCGAGGGGGGTGCCATTGAGGCAGCGCGGCGGGAAGGCGGAGGGGAGGAGAAACGAACGGGGGAGGGATTCGGAGGAGGGAGGGAGGGAGGTCGGCAGGAGGTTGACAGATGAGAGGCGGTTGTCGCAATGTCCAAGGCAAGGTACGAAGGAGAGAATTGAGGTGTCGAGGTAAGGAGGAGAGAGAGGAGCGAGTGGGCAGAGAGCGGGTGGGTTGTTGTGGTGGTTCGGATGGGAGGGCAGTCGATCGAGCGAGAGTGGAAGAAATGGTTTGGTTCGCGACTCGCAGGTAGGTCAGGCTACTGAGAAGGGAGGACTCGGGTACTCCAGCAAGACTTTTTCGGGGATTGAACAGTTCGCATGTCTAACAGTTGAGGACAATGTAAAATCATGTCGTGACGGGTCGGGAAAAGAGAGGCCGGAGTGCGGAGTGGGAAGACGAGAGAAAAGAGTGCGCCCTGGAAGACTGGTTCTGGTTCTGGCTCTCTGGGCGAAGGAAATGGGTAGGCGACTGGCAGCACGCTTCGGGGTTGCAAAGTGCGTTACGGTGGGTGCGCCGCCTCTTTCGCTCTGGCCTGCAGGAGCTGCTGCCCTCCGAGCAACAGGGAAAAGGCAGCTTTGCGGGGCTGGGCCTCTGGTTGGTGCAGTTGTGCTGCATAAGTAGAGCATAACGGATGGATAACGTGGGTAAAGTCTGACAGTTATGCATCTGTCGGAAAAACTCAGGGAGCTCGACTGCCTAACGTGCAGACTAGGACGTAGGGCGAGGTACATGAGACTTCGAATGGCACTGTGCATATCCCACAAATCAAGCAGTATCCAGGGCAGAGTGTCGGATTAAGTTGCGGTGCTCAGAACATGACTGGTCGGTAGGTGACCTCCAGTCTCCATCTGCTGTCACCACGGCAGGGATTTTCTTCCGAAGGACCCTCAAAAAAAAACAATGAGAAAGACGACACGGACAGCACAATCCACGATTCGATTTCCGCCTGTCCCATCCAGTCGTGTAGCCCCCCCGCCTCCCAGAAGCTCCCGTCACTGCTACATCACAGTTCGTTATTCTTCCCACTTCGACAGTGCTCGTCTAATCTTGACATCAATTGCTTTTATGCAGCAACGTCCCTCGTCTGTAGCGAGCTCTACCTTAGCGAGTCCAGCTGCTGCGAGTATTGCTATGCAGCACAGCATGCCTACCTATTACCTACCTAATGCACAGCACACAGTGCGTCAATGCAGCGTTCCCCCTCATCCCGCACCACAGACAGCGCCCCAAGACCAGGATTCATCCTCGACCTTCCACGTCTATTCACCACCGCAACCACCACCCGACCACCACATCATTCATTCCCGTCCGCTGTGACTGCGCTTGCCCCAGCCCCCGGCGCCCCGTCCGCAGCGGAGCCCTGGCCTGCTTATCTAATGCGTTTCGAGCAATGGCCCTGGTTAACCTACCTACGTCTCCTAATCACACACCAGACATTATCAAATGTTGTCATTAGCAATCAAAGCTGGGGTTTTATACAACATTGGCTCTTTCGCAATCCTCCGAGTGCTTGCTGTTGCTTTGCTGCCGCCCTTGCATCGCCATCACCCTGTCTGTTCGACTGCGTTCTCTGCCTTCTCGAGCTCTTGCCTGCTCCAAAGGCGCCTTCGGAGCAACCCCAGCCGATTTCTGGTGGACCGAGTTGGTATGCCCGCTCCCCTCTCGAGTCTGCGAGCTCCGCCCGCACTTTGTGCCCAAACTTGAGGCTCTTTTTTGCGCCGCACTCCTTTGACTTGACCGAGAGAAGCGAGACTAGTCGAAACTGCTTCTGCTGCGTTTGCTGGACATTGTTTGCTTGGCGGGGCATGGGACCTGATCACTGTTGCGGACATTTGCTGATGGTTGGGCAAACTCAGGAATCAAGGGTTACGAGCTCGTCCTTCCGCCTATAATTCGAATCCTCCACCCCCGATCCTCACCTCACCCAACCCGACCGCCGTCTGTAATCGTTCTGGCGACACTGCCCCAACTTCTTCGCGAACCCAAGCTCTCGTCCCTTTCGTGAATACTCTTGTGTGCGGCGTTTGTCTTGGATGGCTCGTAGCATGAGGTGTTATGGGTACGCCTTGCTCCCCTCGAACCTCCGCCATACCCTTGCCACTTCCCATCCCCACCAGCGCCCACGCCCTGCGCCAGGGCTCAGTCTCCGTCAGGCATCATAAGCGTTGACGTCTGTTCTGGTGCTTTGGGAGCTGGCTGTGATGCGTCGACGAGGCCTTGGTCTAGAGCTCGCTGCTCTAGGCTTCATTACCCGACAAGAGCATATGCTAATCTCACGTTCGATCATTGCCACAGGTCATAATCGAACAATGTCTCCCGAAAGCGTTTCCTCCCTCTTTCCCCAGAGGCCGATTCGTCCCCTCCCGAAGCGCCGACTACGCGAACGCCTGTCGCCTGATGTCGCCGACTCCATCGAGTACCCTCCGGCGAACCAGAACTCTAGTCCTCTCTTTTACTACCCCAGTATTCCGCGAGATGAAGTTCCGTCTAGGTCAGGGGGCTTGAACGGTATGGGCAGGAGTAGCCTAGGCTACGAGATTAGCCCAAAGGTTCATGCGGGGAACGGGGAGAGCGGTGAGGAAGACATGGCGTTGAACAGCAGCAAGATTGTTCGTCGTTCACAGCCAGACATCCTCAATCGCGCTTCGGCCCTGCCTCCGAAACTCGAGCAGTCAAAACATTCAAATCCCCAGCCCCCACCGTCTACGGCATCGTCTGCCGACGGATACGAGTCGTTCGAAAACACAAACAACAAGAAGAAAAGAAAGATACCAACGGCGGGGGATTCTGCGCTCTCCGGCACGCACTCGCTAGCTGACATTGGCTCCATGAGCATTTCGGCAGCAACATCCCCCTCCAACGAGCACAGCGAGCTAGGAGGGTCAGCATCGCCATCATACTATGGGGCCGGAAACTTCGTCACAAACAACCAAGGTATATCTGGGCCGGGGAGGGGCAGATTTGGTCGATCAAGAAATGGTAGAAGTCCGCTGGGAACTCTGTCCGACGCACCGAATAGTTGGGTGGGAAGAGGGCCGAAGTACCGGCCGCCTCAATGGGCAACTTCAAGTAAGTCCTTAGCTCCTGTTCACTATGCTGTTTTGCTGTGTGTCTTCTGCTGCTGCTGCTGCTGCTGCGAAGAGCTGGCGGTCTGTCAAAGGAGATGCATGCAAGCTCTGGCGGGGTCCTGCACATCATGCGGGACAGTTCTTTGAGAGGCATGGAGTTTGAATATCACGGCTACCTCCAGCTTGATATCTCTGTCTCGCTCAAATGCAAGCACCCACCACGACAAACGGAAGGCACACACCTACCTTACTTCCACCCTCCATCTCTGCCCTTTTAAGAAATTTCTCTTCCGCATCCCATACATTCGCAAACAAATCGCTGACAATCGTTCCCCAAGGCGAAAACCCTGGTATCATTTCGAGCGCCATCGCAAACGCCGAGAAGCTCCCATCCACACCCGGTCAAGAGAACGTCAGTCTTTTACAGCAGCATTCATCTAGCGTCAAATCCAGCCCGACTGCCACGCAGTTCACCTTTACCTGCGACTCTCCGGTTCCCAAGCCACAGTGGCCAGGAACTGATCCATTAGGTTCACACGGCTCGCTCCCAGGTTACGGCAACAAATTCAGGCAAGCTTCAATGGCGACCCAGACCCTAGACGCCGCGAGCTCGATCGCTGCACCTCCTGCGCCGGCACCAGCCGGCAAGGGAGGCGCGCAGCCTGGCAAGAAGAAGAAGAGCCGTCGCCGCCAAGAGAAGGAGCTTAGGTTGGCAGCCAAGCACCGCCGTCAAGAAGCTGAATACCGGTACATCAACAACCCACCCAAGCCGGAGGATATGTGGATTTGCGAATTCTGCGAGTACGAGCGCATCTTTGGCGAGCCGCCTTACGCCCTGATCAAGCAATATGAGATCAAGGACCAGAAAGCTCGCAGAAAAGAGGCGGAGCGGAAGCGGCTGCTGGAGAAGGCCAAGGCCAAGAGCCGAAAGGCCAAGAAGGCAACCAAATCCCCCGGTAAGACGGCATCGCCTCAGAGCCAGCAGCAGGCCGGCTCAGCTGATGTGCCGGCGGGACACACAACCAATCCTGGCTTCACCACCGACGAATACATTGAGGATATTGAGGGAGATAATTTCGATGACTCATACTCTCAAGACGATCCACCGATGTTACTGAGCGACGATCCGGATGACCCATGTCGCGATCCCGATTGCAACGACTGTCATGGAGCGTTCGAGGATTTGGACGATCCCGGCGACGAACATGAACCCGGAGACGAACCTGGTGATGAACTCGGCAAGGATTCATATTCACCATCATAAGCTTATCCATAGTGTGGATTCTGGATACCTGAGAAGCTCAGCCCTGGAGCTGGCCCTCTCCTCTGCTTCTTACATTTTGCATTAACTACGGCGGCATTTCTTGCGCACCGGCTCGGCAGAACACTGGCAACCCTATTTCGGTCGTTGACTTGGATATCGGCCCAGCCCTTGCCTCAAGAATAAAGCAAGCGATACGGTTCATATACCAAACAAACTGCCGACAGCAACAAGATTCCCTTTTCGAAATCCAAAACAACAAAAAAAGCCAGACGTCGTTGCGCACTCTGACAACTGCAGAAGTGGCGCAAATACAAAATAGAGATGCCAGTCGAGGTCCAAGACACTCTTTCTGGGGTGTTGGGAGTATGCAGAGAGATGATCTTGGGAACTCATTTGGGCCTGGGCATGAGATGTACAGATTATTCTGTGAAGGAATCTAGATGGGTAACGCTCAGTAGGAGGTTACGAGAGAGTTTCATCAAGATGGTTGTTAGGGTGCTATGAAGACCAACACAGCATTAGCTAGCAGAATCCACCACACTCTGATAACCCGATCAAAACAGTGAAACTTGATCTTCTCTGTTCAACTTCGTCGTCGTCTACATTGTTGATTCTCACGCTGTCCATCGCCATCCGCAAGTAGATGATAGAGCAGGTGCCAGCGAAGGGAGCTCCGAGAAGAGGCATGACGTAATTGACTGGGGCACTGACTTGTGGCTGGTCTGGGCTCTTTCGACCTTATTCATAAGCGGGACGGGAGACTGACCCCTCGGCCTCTTCCGCCTCGGCAGGACCGTAATCCCGTCCTCATCGCCAATTCATCGTCCAATCCCACACGACAAAGCTGCTTCGTGGCTTGCATATCTTGTTGTTATTCAACGATCGAACAGAGTTTAGCATCAATTCTAGTAACGGCGGGCGTCCCGGAGGCTCCATGACCTTGCGTTTGAGATCAGAGATGGAACCGCGATTAAAAAGACGGTTTCTTTCAGAAATGATCGTATTGAAATGACTTGTCCGACCGGAGGAGCACAGCGCAAGACCGGAGGCTGCGCTACCGTAGTTTCCGACCAAGCTACTGCGTCTGCGCCAGGAATGGAGGTCTTTCGGAGGATGTGGAAGCCAGCGCAGGTAGGTAGCTGGCAGGTCATTCCCATTCCCGTCTTCCTCGCCGCCGATCAGTGCGGTTGGCGGAGCATGCATAGACCTTGGAGTCGAGTGTTTGCCAGTGTTCGCCAGTGACGTTTCTTCGGGCTGTCTTTCCGGAGGGACCCATCCGGAGCTGCGGTGACAAGTTGAGTTGGATGGTGGTGCGTTTGTCGCGTGATGGGCCCTGATACAGACCTCTGCCACGCATTTCCATTAGAGTCCAGACGCAGGCAGGGAGCTCCTCAAGCTTTCTCAGACCTCGATCTCCGCCAGTGCCGGTCCGCGTATGCCGTCTGCTGCGGCCGCGGGAAGTGTTGCGCGTTGCTGCCTACCACCTGCTCGAAGTCTCTCGCTCAACTGGATGGGATGGATGGATGGCCAGGCCAGGGGTGGGGGAAAGGCACGAAAGCTTCGCTGTCAGCCAGGCCTGAAACAACCCTGTCCTGTCCACCGCAGCCCCAAGTTTCTGTGAGACGTCGATCAACTACTCCACACGAGTTCGGCACTCAGAACTCTGTCTGTGATGGGCGGCGGTATCTTGCAGGAGGCCCTCTGAGCGGGTTGGGTGAGGGCCGATTTGACTCAGAATGAGCTGGATCATCACCCGCAACTCGTGGCTATCTTACTTTGACCTGAATGCTACAACCGCTATGGGGATCACGGACGCAGACACGACAGAGAACACAGGTGCAGACGACCACAGCTCTACAGATGCGGTCTCTTCATTGTTGTGTATGGTTTGTGCTTCCCGCGATCTGCTGCTGTCGTGGCCCCCCAAAGGCTCTCGCCCAGAGACGGCTCATTGAGATGCGGCAACGCAGACCAAGGCCATCCTGTCTCTAGCTTAGGCCGGAAGTCTGTCTTCAAAGCAGCCAATCTTTGCGAAACACAGGGTGCCAGGTCAGAGAAGCTGTCACAATTGCGCAGCAGTAGCAACATGGCCAGCAAGCAGGCAATGCATGGCCCGTGGGATTGGCACCCTCGATTCAGTGGAGCCAGGCCAGACCCGGCGTGGTGTCATCCCAAAACAGAAAGGCGGCTCAGGCGAAACAAGGGTGCCTCCAGAAAGGAAGCGCGGTAAGGTGCATTGGGCAGGCCGTGGGTGCAGATGCCAGGCGTCCGCCGCCGCTAGTGCTCTGGATGTTGCTGCCGCTGCTGCACCTTGCACAGCTGGGCTGGGCCGCTGCAATCACTGGGAAAGAATGGGGATGAAAATGGAATGAAAGCAGCCCCGTAGGTACAAATTACTGTAGGAAAAAAAACTGCTTAGTGTACGCACTGGCCAGCGCCCCCATCGTGGCTGAACCCGACTCACCTCTTCCGTCATCATCCCATCCACTTCATGGATCCCATCCACCTCCCATCCCATCCTTTTCCTCTCCTGCAGAGGAGCCTATCCACCATCTCTTTCCACCCCCAGCTACCTTTTCCCCGACATCACCAGGTCTAATCTACCGCGGCCTCCGTTTTCCCGCACTTACTCGACCCTTCCCCCGCTCCGAGTTCTTTCTTCTTTTGTTCTTCTTTTAATCATTTCCTTCCCACATATTTGACTCCATCAACCCTTATTCCATGCGACCTGTTACCGAACCATCACAGGCCTTGCGCCGTTGATCGACAACCAGAGACACGCAAACATGTTTGGCGGTTCTAGGAGGCACCGGCAAGCCAATCAGGTAAGTCACCACACTGCCAACTCTTGCTTGTATTTGATGTCTTGACCGCGATCCTTCACGATGCGGCTGTTGAGATCACGACCGCGCCGCATACCCCTGGATCCTCGCTCGGCGATGTCGCATCTGATTTTAACTAACCCGGGCCCGTAGCCATTGACTGCCGCAACAGCAAATCCCAGTGCGGCCACCGCAGCCGCATCAGCGTTCGCGCGTCGCGCATCCTCGTCATCCCTCTCATCCGCCGCCGCCGCCGCCGCCCTCCGCGCAAGACCCACGACACCCATCAACGTCGCCGAAGTTCAGACGAAGCGGACTCAGAAGCGCAGCACATCCGTGTCGTCGCACGGCAGCCAGGACACCCGACGAAGCCTGCATAGGTCCCCTAGCCAGGGCTCTATGAGCGAGAGGACTTTCCGCTCGCCGTCACCACACCGAACCCCGGCGCCCGCGGAGGATGCGCCGCCGGTCCCGACCATTCCGGACGACATGCGGTCAAACGGCGGGAAGTCGACCCACACCAGGTCGACGAGCCTACAGATGCAGCCGTTTCGTGTTGCGAGTCAGAAGCAAAAGGAGGGTGGCTCGTGGTTTGGAGCCGCAACGGAGGGGAATTTGGCCAACGTCAGGACATCAGACGCTCCGATGCGCGTTGCTTCACCAGAGTCCCGACCGGGAGCTGTAAGCCCAACTTCTTCTGTCAACTTTTCCTATCCGAGGGGGCTGCATGCCGCATCACCCCCACCATCGCCGGCCGTCGAGAGCATTAGAATGACAAGTAGCCAGCGACTTGCCTCGCCCCGCCGAACAGAGTCAGTGGCCTCCCGGTCATCCGTCTCAGAACAACCACTCGTATACGATCCCAACTCGCGGAGGATGGTGCCCAACGTGAATCTGTTGGCCAAGGAGCAAAGCGTTCGTGATGCGTCGGAGAAATCGCCTAAGAAGAAGAAACCTCAACAGCAAGGATTGGCTAGGAGTGGTTCCCACCTCGCCAAAGGTACAATGAGTAGAACTCACGGTGTTGCAGTGGAGCGCGAGGAGCCTGCCACGAGGCAGCGCGAACAACCTCAAGCTCGAGCTCAGGCGACCACTCCTGAGCCAAAGGCGTCACAAACCCAGCTCCCGGCTAGTGAGACAGTGCAGCCAAACCCAGCGCCATCACTTGTAGACGAGAAAGCACCAATGGACGGATCTCATTCTCCGCCAAATGGGCCAGCACCTGATATTCGCAGCCAACAACCAGCGACTGCCAGCCCTGAGACCACTCAAGCGGCCCCAGAAGTAGAACCCGAACAGCAGGCGCGACATAGTGACGGCGCCACCAATCTCCCGCGTTCTGAGCCGCGGCAAGGTGTCCCTATCTTAGCAAGAAAGCCATCAACGGTCCAGGAAGAATCAGATGAAGACCTGCTGAACTCAGAAGACGAAGATGACCAATCTGCAGCGCAGCAAGACGTTGCTAATGTCCTCGACGCAGTGCCCGTCCGATCCTCCGGCCCTCCCAAGCAACCATCTCTGTCTTCTGAGAGCACGTTTGTCGAGTCTCAAGTCTCCTCGTCCCAGAGGCAGCCGAGTCCACCAGAGCTTAGGCAGCATGGGAGCGTCAGAAATGCCCGAGCTCATTCCAGCAGTCCAGCGAGATCAGCGCGCTTTGCATTGGGAGCAGATCAACTACTCATCAGGCATGAGCCTCCCGCAAGATCAGTCTCACCTCGGAAATCCGCCTTGAAGCACTCGGCTAGTCCTTCCAGGGGAGCTTCGCCGACGGACGAGAGCTCTGAAGCTTCAGGTCCTAGTCGGTATGGTAGTGAGGTCACAGCCATTGAGGGTCAAGTAGCACGCAAGAAGAGCGTACGTGTCAGCTTTGACGACGAAAACACCAAGGTCGTAGGACAGTCTGCTGCCAAACCGGAGTTTGACTCGCCCGTCCCTCCTAGTCCCCAGACGAAGAGACATTGGTACAGCCATTTGGGTCGAAATCGGAAGAAGGATGCGATTTCCTTGGATGATGACGAAGTCATGAAACCTCGTCCAGCGTTGCCATCATTTGGCAGTGTGCGCGACAAGAAGCTCAGAGAGCCCGAGGAACGGCCACTCGTTCGGCCCGTTGAACCACCGTCTTCCCCATCTGCTCACGATACATCTGCAACTTACGACTCCGACAACGAAGAACCC